GAATTCTGGGAGTTGAAGTCCACACATCTTAAAGCTGCCAAGGTTGAAAAACACTGCCCTAACTAATTAAAAATACAAAGGGAAGGCAGCAAGATTTTAGGCTATCCAGTTCATTCTTGTTCTTACTACACTCAAAGCAAACTCTTGGACTGTAAGGACTTCACATCCAGAGGGTGGGGCAGAGATTTCAGAACAAACCAAATCACCCTCAACACTAATTCAGGGGGAATGCATTCCCCACCTACAAAAGTGGGGGCACAAACAATGACTATTTGGACCTTCCAGTGGGTAGGAAGCTAATGAAATTTGTCTACCTCTGGAAGAACATGATGTCAGACACATGGATTCTAAAGACTTTCACAGGATTAGAGCATAGACTGCAGCATGCCTCTCTGAGATTATTCCACCCCTTCCCCCAAGGCACACAAGTTGATCAAACAATGGCTAATCCTGGAGACTATAAATCATCTTCTGAGTATACAGACAGTTCTACACACCCCACAATTGAGAATTTTTCCAGGTCGTATTCCATATTCTTTATTGTTCCCATGAAGAACAGTAGAGTGCGTCATCCTAGAACTGAAAGCAGATAAATTGCCACATCAAGTATTGCAAGTTCAAGATGAAATCCTTCAGATCCTTCATTAGAGACCTCAAAATAATGGATGGTGTGGCCTTGCTGAACATCCAGGAAGCCTGCCTTCACACCCCAGTCCACTCATCTTCACAGGTAGTGCCCTCTACAGGTTCAAGGCACTTTCATTTGTCGTGGTGTCAACATCTGGTGTATTCACAAAGGTAATGGTGACCATTTTATTCAGTTGAGTTCCTGGAGAATGCACATGTACTCCTACACAGATGACCTGCTGATCCGATCCCTATTGGTTAAACAGGGAAGGAAAGAGATGAAAGAGGTTAGCTGTCTTATTGAAGACTTAGGGTTCTGGGCCAATAAAGAGAAGAGCATCTTTCAACCAGTGTACCTGAGGGCAGTTACGGACGCAGAAAATGGTCTGATCTCCCTGCCGAAGGAGAAGGAAATTATCCAGCAACTAATAATGTTAACTCTTCAAACTAGCTACCCAGATGTCATGACTCTTGCCATGGCCAGAAGATGACCTACAAGATTTCATTCATGCCTCCTCCAGTGGATGCTTCAAGACTCAAAAAGTCCAAAGATTGCAGTGAAGTGAGGACTTCCCTTAAGTGATGGCTCTCAGAAGCCCTTTCCAGGGGGAGGGTTATGTGGCCCTTGCACCAAATGCAATTTTGCACAGATGCCCATCATGGCCCGGAGGGTGCATTGCTTAAACCTGTTAGTTCAGGATGTCTGGATGGAGGAGGAAGCAAAATGCAGTATCTGTATTCTGAAGTGGTGCCTAGCAAGACTTGTCCCAAGCAAGTTCCAGTCTCTTCTAAAATGATAGCAGCCTTATTCTAATAGATAACATGACCTTCAAAGTCCACACTGAGAGAGATGGAGGCAGTAGGTCAAGACAGCTGATGAAGGAAGTAGCCAGACGTACCTACATTCTTCCCCAAAGAAATTCAAGCTAGACGGATTCTTTTTTTAAAAAATAAGGGTTTATATAACATGATGCAAGACCTCTACATTGATTAACTCTCTCCTACCCTCCAGTTTTGCTCCCACACTCCAGATGTCCCATCCATTCATTCTTCCGTGGTGCACCTCTCCTTCCCTCCCACCCCAAATTCCCACAATACCCTGCGCAACTCTAACTTGAAGAAGGAACTCAAATATATCCTGATTTTTGAACTGGTGTGGTTTATTTCAGTTGCAGAGCACTCAGGTTTCCTCAGTACCCCTGCCATCTTCTTTTCTAGCATGATGGCTGTGGCCCCCTTCCTTTGTGCCCCGTGCCAGTTGCCCCTTGCTCTGAATTTGGGAATTACATTCATTGCTATAGTCAGGCATCAAGAAGCTATTTCAGGAGTGCAACACCAGTGTTAGAAGAAGTGTG